TTCAATTATGAAGTCTTTTTGGTCTTATTTATTCAGTTTAGCTATTTTATGGTCAAAAAAGTCTAATGTGTCTTTAATCTAGTATGATCAATGCTATTTAGTGTAACTGGCATCCAAACTGTACGATCAGCGTTTTTAATGTGTCCTATGTATAGAATCTTGTAATTATAATTCTTGAAACCTAGAAAACGATGTCTCAGTTTGACATTTTCCAGAAATCAAATGCCAGAAACAACGTTGTCACAACTAACGCTGGAAAAAAGTCCAGCGTACTTTATCAATAAGGGTGCTCCACAACGGGTTCTTCAATTAGATCCGGCAATGAAACTGATCATTGTGGTACGTAATCCAATCACTAGAGCAATCTCAGGTAATGTATGTTACTACTATTTTGTCTGTAGGATTACTCCTTATTTTTGTTGCTATACGGTAGTCCGAGAAAGGCTGCTGTTCTGACGACATTCATGATAATGACAAATGGTTGTGGTGGTTTTGGTGTTAGACGATGCAACCAAAATTTGAATTATCGCGGAAATTACTCTTTAAAAGCACTTCTAAAATACCTATTCTTTTCGGTTTTTTTCTTTTTATACCTTATTCCTTTGCAGATTATACCCAAGCAATAAGTAAACGAAAAAAACGCTCCATACTTCCGCAGTTTGAATCAATTGCTGTAAAAAACTATACGTCAGCACACAAAGGTAACAACTGCTCTATTTCCTTGGCGCAATTTTTTTTCCCAAATTTTATTACCCTTTTCAATTTCTATTCTCTTCTTGCCACATCCCTTTCTCTTTCTATCTCTGCACATCCCTTAGTAAAGAAAGAAAGGCTTTTCCCTTAAATTGCGCAGACAACAAAATACGAGATGACCTTTACGGTTCTTAAGCAATTTATTTTAAGCATATTTTAATTGAGTGTGAAGTAGTCATAGATCTCTTTCGTGGCTATAACCAGAAAAAAGTTTAGCTGTTATTTCGTTTCAAAAAAAAAAAAAAGGTTTATAGAAACCAACGGACGAAAGAACTAATTTTAGGCAATAAAACTGTTGTAAATACATCTTGGGGTGCGATACGAATCGGTGTTTATCATAAATTTGTTAGCAAATGGTTACAGTATTTTCCGCTTAGTCAAATGCACTTTGTGGACGGCGAACGACTGATCAAAGATCCGGCAGCTGAGGTTCGGGCCGCTGAACGATTTTTGGGATTTGAGCCAAGTTAGTTTTTGGTGATTACACAGAATCCATCATGAAGATTTGTAAATTTTTTTCCAAGCCGAGCAAAAACCTGAATAACAAGAACAATGACAAAAGCCTTAAGGAAAGGTTTGGTTTTCAAAAGAAGAAAAAATATCTCCTCATTATCAATGGTGGTCTATAATATTCACTAATACGGTTTGTATCCAAGGAGAGGAACATTAAAAATGTTTGATTAAATTACTCGGTTAAAAAAGAATAGAATTTGTAATCAGGATTACAGCAAATTAGTGCACAATGAATTAAGCGATATTTTTAGTTGAACAAAACAAAAATAAAAAGAAAAGTTGAATAGAAAAATAGAGAAAAGAGGAATAAGATGAGGAGAAGAAAAGAAATGAATTTTTTTTCTTTTCTTTGTTCAGTTCAACAAATTAACAAATCTGAAAGTAAAAATGTGCTTTTCTTTTTTTGCAGCTGTAAATCGCAGCAATTTTGCCATTGATCCAATAAAGGGGTTTCCATGTGTCTTAAGGCCTGACAACAGTTTACATTGCTTGGGTAAAACTAAAGGTCGGATACATCCAACCGTTGATCCGACAGTGATACGAATCTTACAGGACTATTATGCCAATGAAAACGAGAAGCTATTTCAGCTAATTAACAGACGTTTTAATTGGTAATCATATCATACATCAACTGCCTTACTGTTTGGCATACTTATCGGCCAGGTGGTCTAAACTGTGCTGTCGAAAATCTGAGCTGTTACGTATGAATACATAGCATTTTAAGTATGTTTATATACATAGCAGTAAGATTAGCAATATTTTCGAGTGTTTTTTCTTTATTTTCAATTTCTTCTTTTTCTGTGTATAAGTTTAATAATAGTGCCAAATGTTCATCTAAAGAAAATATACGTAGTCAAAAAGTTTAGACGGTTAAATGAAGATGAACTTCTTTTTTTGTTTCATTTCCTACTTTTGCTGTGGTCATTTCAGTACCGGTTCCATTTCCTGTTTTAATTATATAGCCCAATTTAATCCAGGTTTTTTTTGTCATTATTATTATTATCATTATTACGGTTACTGATGTTCAACAACTGTCTTCCAAGACTTTATCAACTTTTACTGTTACAAAATCCCATTTATTTTCCTTTTCAATAACCTAGAATCGAAGAGATTTAGTTCGGTAAACAATAACGGAAAAGGATTTTTACTTAATAAAATCAGTGAGTTGATTATTGGTTTTTTGGCTGATGAGACACAAAAAATTCACTCAAATGACTTGGAAGAATCAGTTGATTGCTGCATAGCATTTGTTTTTTGATGATTTCGCCTGTTTCAGCTATAAAATATAAAAAAAACCAATAAAAATTGGGCGATCATTTTTTAGGCCTTTTTTCTGTATCAACAGAATCTCTGTGTAAATAGCAAAATAAAAAAGTTTTAGATATGTTGCTGAGCAGATTCTGTTTCTTCTATATGCTCTTGTTACTGCTGCTTTTGCAAGATAGAAATCATTCTTTCAAAATTTAATTAACCGAATACTTCAAAAAAAAATTCTTTTTTCTGATTTATAAATTTTATATTCACAACATATTTTTGAAACAAATTTTTCTTTTTACTATAACTTTGCAAAAGTTTAGATGGAAATTATATTTTAGATTGCTTATCCCAAATAAGCGCTTTTTCAGCCGCAACTGCAGCAAAGTGCAGCAGTAACAGCAATTTCCCTATCCTTTCTTTTTTCGTTGTTACCGATAAATAAATAAATGCACTGATCCTGGTAAACAAGCAGGATAAAAAAAGTGAAAAAAAGCTGAAAGCTTAAAGAGTATTTCTTTTAAGATAATAACGGTAACAGCACTGAAGAAAAAAACTGTTAAAAAAACGATTTAAAAGAATTATTTAATTATGTGATATTAAAAAAACAGAATAAAACACTAAATTTTATTATTAATATTACTATTAATAATGTTATTATTATTAACATTGTTATGTATTATTGCAGTATCGTCTTCTGTTGTTTACTTATCGTTTTCTTGGACCAAAGTTAACTGTGTGTGTACCTGGAGAAAAATGGTAAAAATAAACTTTATATAATTTTTATCGCCACACCATTTCTTACTTAACTAAATCATAAACTAAAGGATGAATGAAGAAACGCTAAGCAAAAATGCAGTTTAAGCGAACTGATGATACTTTTTGAACGGTTTTCTTCATTTTTCAGTCAACTTGGCTATTCTTAGCACTGCGAACACTGTGTGTGCTGTCGATTTCAAACGGCAATTATCTGGTTACAACTATATGAAATGTCATCATTCTTTTTGCTGTACTTTATAATTTTTTTAAGCTTAAATTATGACTGTTGAATATTCTTTACTACATTCACAGTTCTTGTTGTTTTGTGGGACTGGGGTATCTTGGTAACTGCTGTGATACGCAATACCAAGCTGATAGTGGTGATAAGGTTGCACAAATTTACAACAGCTGTCTGGCTTCTCGAACAACATAGTTCTTATAGCAATGTTTTATAGATTAATTTAAAGTAGACCTGATACATTCTTGACTCACCAGTAATTCTATTTTAACCATTTGCTGTTAGATGTGCTATCTTCTGCAGTTTCTGCTGTTGGTACATACGTTGCTAGATATTGGCTTTCTATGTATGCAAGATCTGCTTCCAGTGCATCAAATCTGCCAAATTTTTACCATCTACTAACAGGTTATTAGATTGTTTTATTCAAATTGTGTGGGAATAGTTAATAAATCCTGAAATTTTTTGGTTATATTGAAAGAAAAAAAATACTTATTACAGTCTAACGGTAACCAGGCTAGTGACGTCACCACTTGAAACTGCCTCTTGATGCCTGACGTATGTCTGCCTTTCTAACCATTAGAGGTCGTTGGTGGAACTCTATTTTGTCTCTGACTACATTCGCCTAACCCGTTCACTTGTTTAACCTTTTCACAGACGGTAATATTGGGGAAGCTGTAATAAAAATTTGCTGAAAACAAAATAAAGGATAATCAAAGAATAAAGTTTCTTTAAGTCCAATAAATGTTTCGCTTGATTGATAT